TGCCTCGAAGAATCAGAAAACATTCCTCTCCTGCTCCTAATAATGATGTTCAGTAAGAACATCTATCTTGATGCAGAAGGAAAACTCAACCTATCATCAAATATATATTTATGAAAAAAATAGATTATTTTGAAGAGAAACATGAACATTTAAAGTTTAAGTGCAAGTGTTTCTGTGGGTAGGACTGTAGTAGTCTACAGTACTGCTCTATTATGGAGAATGAGATAATAGGAGTTTCTAATTTGAGGCAGTATTCCTCTGCAAGTCCTGCAGAGATGGCAGTGAACAGAACTGACAAAGGGAAGGCTTAAGTGTTGTCTTTAAACAACGTATTGCACTTTGCTTCAGTTTTTGAAGAGAAACTGTTTCGGTATTTTTAGCATTCACAGGAGTGAAATACTGAGTGCACTCTGGTGCAGGCAGAGAAAAGGAAGGCGAGGTACAAGATTTCACATTCATCTCTGCTAATGCATTTTACACACTGCTGTGCAGCTCTTCTAATGTTCCAGCCCCATGTCTCTTCAGCGGAGACGGCAAAGCACCAAAGACCAAACTACATGATGGTGGTGGTGTGACAGGGATCAATGCCCATGAGAGAACACAGAATGCTGTCGCTTCAGATTTGGCTTCACAGCTTAACTCAAAATGCCTCTGTCGTGATGGATAGTCTTCATTTTCCACTCACCCCAGTGGGACTCAATTTCAACAGGGACACTTGCAAAATCAAGAAACACACAAAGCAAAACTTTGCAAAATTTCATTCCTGGTGAACAGGTTTAATAGAAGATTCAAACCCCAAGAGTTAAAAGACATGTAATTTAAAGCCTAAGTAATCTAAAATTGCCACTTTACAACATATGTTCCCATATCCAAAACAGAACTTCTAGCCCTATTACTTATAAAATTATCAAATTAATCTGATTTTATTCTCAGTGATTAAGATGAAATTTGAGAAGTAGAAAAAGGAAGACCAGACTGTTAAATGTGTAATATTTTAACAGCCTTTTATACATCCAGTTTCTCCTTGCTCTCAGGAGATAACAATGGAGTGGCTCTGTGTAACTTTCAGTATCGCATGTGAATCCCAGTAGTAACAGCCATACAAAGGAGATTATCTTTGAAGGGGCAATAGGATACAGAAAGCTCCCAGCAGGTGCAGAAAGTTGGTCCTGCCTCTGCTCGCAGAACTTGTGCAGGTGTGGATGAAAAAGAGGTAGCCCAACTCACAGGGTATGATGTTGATAACTCTTGCTGCAGGACACACATATTTCAAATACTGAACGACTTCTGCCTCCCAGATTAGGCAGTAGACTCCTTTCAGTGTAACACAAAATCATCAGCTTTGCATTCTCTGTGACTCTGTCATGTAGCAGTGGTACCTGACCTGTGCTACGCAGCATTGTCCCAGAGAATGAACCCGGCTTCAGCTCTAAAACTTGCTAGACCAAACCGGGCTAACCTGCGTGCCTGGAAGAAAGGTAAGAATAGTGTGCTTGTGCAAAAGTGGGACAGAAGTAATTTTTCAACAGTTTAGAAGCCTAAAATTCTGATCTTATTAGACAATGACGAAGAACAGGTATAGCTCCAGCATTACAACAAAACCAACTTTATAAAATCCTAAAGAAAGTGTAGCTCAAGCCAGCAAAACATAAATTTGCTCCTGGCAATATGAAAAGAAAAATCTTTGTGATGTAGAAACAGATGTCACTATACATTTTTCATAATAGAGCATTACCCACCCACTGTATGCATGGCTTCACTGGATATATTTAAAGGAAATTTCAAAAGCATTTCAACTACTTTATTCTAAGGATATCAGAGTAAACTGGGAATACCATAGACTTTCTTAAAAGTTTCTATTTACATGAAAACTTACAGTAACTAATCACTTAGAAAGACTAGTCAAAACAAACAAAAACCTCTGTTTCATTAAACTAAAAAGCCTAAATTACAGAAAATCTGACACAGCCAAGATATAATTATGATCAAAATCAGACAGAGATGCATTAGAAGTGAAAAGTGCAGTCAGAACATTCAGTGTGTCAAGCACAGTGAATGTGATCCCAGCTGCACAGTATTTCAATATAATTAAACAACACTTCTTACATAATGTCAATTAAATGACAGGCAAGAGTGAAGTAACTAAAACCTTTCTGATACAGGAATACTAGCACTGAAAGGTTATTTTCAAGATTTTTTTAAAAGTGCAGGCCAAAAATAAATTCTGGCTGTTTCTCAGTGAGGAGCATCCTCTTTCACTTTAATATTATCATCTATGTGCACAATTCAAGAAGTATTTACTTAGTTTTGTATTACAGTAAAAATCCAGCAGGTTTGAAAATGAGAGCTAATTCTCTTGTATAGTCAAAGTCAGGTTTAACAAAACCCAAGAAAATGCTTTACCCCGTGATGTGCTTACTGCCCTTTCCCCACCTTATCTACAGTCTTCTATTTGTGGCAGTAAAAGAGTGCTGAATTGAATTAATGCACAGAATTCACTTCTTATAGTTGCAGCAAGAGAAATAAGAAAAGTTAAAGTACATATTTTATTAGCTACTGTGAGCTTATTAACTGAGGCAAGCAGTAGTACAGCCCTGATGCTGTGGGAATTGTTACTGTAACACAATTTCTGCAAAATATCTCACAGTCAAATACAAGGTTTATTTCTGCCTGATTATTTGAACTGGTGTCTGCTCTGAAGCACAGACTGGAAGAGCAGGGCATGCCTAGCAGGCCTGGATTCCCCTCCACCCCCAGCTGGATTACCTGTCTGTTTGCAGGAATGGTGGACTACATTTGGTAGCCACAATATGTGGCAGCACTGTTTGAGGAACAAGAAAGCCAGCTCTGCTGCAGACTGGAGAATCAGAGCCGTGACACTACAGCACTCGGAGCAGTTTTACTGCCAAAGGGACATATCCACTTTCCTGGGTGGTGAAGCAAGCATGGAGATCTGTGCTGTTGCAGCTATGCTGGTAATGGTATCAAATTATAGCTCATTTCAACCTGACTTTTATGAGCCGACATAAAAATCCAGACTTGAAAAAAAGTCACCCAAGCAAACAGAAAGTGAGATGGTTTCTAATTAATTATAGGTAAGAAAGTCAAGTTTTATCAGGACTGAGATTTTAGGATGTAAACAGAAGTCCAAATATTGCCACAGATAAAGTTGCAACCAGGGTAGCCTGGGGTCATTCACATATGCTGCAGCTCATCTTGATTTAAATCTTGCATCTTATTTAATTTTTTCTTGCCTACATCCAGCTTTAAAATGGCTGAGTAGCAAAAAATGCTAAATGTATGTAAACCAGAGATGAAATTAGTATTTTCCCCCCACAAAAAGATACTGCAGTACAGATCTAGACTGTTTCACATATTAACAATATAAATAAATACTATTACAAAAGAGAAAGGTATTCTCTCATTATTTTCAAGCTACACCAATAGGATTCCCTGGGAGAGACTCTAGTCCTGTTCTACAATTGTAAGGAATAGTTATAGAAAGTTCTTAGAGGTTTGCAAAAAGCTTATCAAATTATATTAGTCCTCTAGGGTAGATCTTCTCTTTCATAAGCCTGGAGCTAGGAAAGCAGTAATATAGGGAAAAGTACTATGAACCCAGTTCACTTTTACCACTTACAGATAGGATATTGTTTTCCAATATCTGTCAGTCAGAATGAAACTAGAAGGGAAGGACAAAATCCAGCTCCACTCACTCAATGCCTGTTACCTGTCCAAAGGTGACAACTCTATTGAATAAATAGTAGATCCCATTTTAAGCCCCCGTAGTCTAATCCAATGCCAAATTTAAAATATATACATTATAAAATGCACATACATGTCCCTTCCCCGGTTATTCTTAAACAGAGAAGAAATTCAGGTTCTATGCTTAAAATACTCCACACATTCCCATGAAAGAGCACAGTGAGGGGACAGAACCAACCTGCTGGCTCACAAAGTTTGAAAATTTAAACAAATAGATCAATAATTTTCTACCTGAAAAAAATTACAAGTTCTCAAAACACAGAACTTTACTTTTGTAAACAATTCAAAGACAGTCTCAATCTTAAATTATGCCTTTAATTTCCTTTTTATAGATAATGAACATACATACAGTCAGACATAGCTTGCACTTGCTTTAATTATGCTGGTTGCCAACTACAGATATGCAAAGAGCAATTCAGTTAATTAAATAAAGGTGTCAAGGGCCATTTTCGATGTCTAAGAGCAAACTATCAGCTGGATTCCAGCTGCTGCAGAAGAAAAACACACATCTCCCATAGGTCCTATGATGACATCTAGCTCTGTCCTAGGCTAAGACAAAGGCTTAGCCTTTGTCTAAGGCTGTCTTAGATTACCTGGAACACATAAAATAGTACTCAAGCACTTTATTTGGAAGTTAAATTACTTAGATTGTCCCACTGACCTCCATAAATCAGCTCAAGTGGGTAACTTCCAAGAATAAAGAGCTGACACTCTATTCAAGCATGTATAACACCGGCACCCCAAATGATTCATCTTTAGCTGTGACACTGTAGAGCTTGGACTGCTACAAATCAATAACAGAAGCAGCGACAGAAAAGCTGCAGGTATCACCACACGAGAGATTAAAATATGAGTAGCTCTCTCCCAAGTTACAGACTCTACTGTCATTCTGGTTTGTGCATATAAGTAAAATATTATCAGAAATATATTTCTGAAAAATTATTTACAGTGGTGCTATCTCTGTATATTCTATGTGTTCTCTGCCCTCAAAAAGCACACCAGAGCAATCTTTTATTTGCAAGGAATACCTGTGCTGACTCATGTAGCCAGTTAAAAACACCCATCTCAAGTGCATGGTTCTCTTTCTCTATTCTCTAATATATTAACAACAGATAAAGTAGATTTTAGGCACAAGAGAACAACAAAACCAATTTTACATCAACCCATTTCCCCAGTTTGCTAATGAGAGCCAAAGAACAACAAGATCTGTACAAGGAATGAAGCAAAGCACTTACCGTGTCTTGAGATTTATCTTTGACATCATAGACTGTTAGTTTTATTTTAGTTTCCTCATAGATGGGGTATTCCGGTGGGAAGGTCACACCAGTCAAAAACAGTGGATCTTTTGTACCCTGTGCAACATGAGTAAACGCTCAGTAAGGTAACAGCTGAGCAATGTGAGGGATGTCACTATGGAGGTACAGAAACCCAAAAGGTGTCAGCTGTCTCCAGCACAGATGAAAAGAGCTCAGCTTTATTACCCAACCAATGAGAAAAAACAAACAGCCTTACAACTTTATCAGGAAAACGAAAAACAAACAAGCAAAACCCAAACAAAACCAAAACAACTTCCTGGAAAGTCTTTTTTTAACTGGAAAGGATATCAAGTGCTTCTGAAGCAGAGCCTAGTATCATGTTTTTAAACAGCTCAACCAGTATCAGATTCTGGAATACAACCTATAATAACCAAACCCTTTCTTACTCCCACGACATTTTTTAGAAGTACCACAATTTCATCTTCATTTAAATGAACTAATGATTTAACTTGCACATACATACAAAAAAGAGCAATTGTCATGAAGCCACAATACTAAGTGTATAGAAATGCTACAGAGACTCTTGGTATTGCATTAAGGATATTGATTTTTGGAGAGGGGACTGAAATACTCCTCTTTAGGTGGTACTGCAATAAAAAAAACATTCCTGTGCTTTGAAACATTATGATTGCATTTAAAAGCTGTACACAGAAGTAGCCATACCATACCTAAAGAGATACAATTAAATGAATCATACTAAATGTTTTTTGTAATTTCTTAATGTTTAATTACACTTAATTTCCAAAGATTACTAGGCATGTATCCTAAAATTTTTCATTAAGTAATAAAACAAAAGGATTGTACATGACAAAGGTAATTTATCTTATGGATCAACTTTCTGTGCCCCTGCCTTCCCGTCCACCAAAGCTTGACTACAAAGCCGAGAACCATGACAAAACAAATTCAGGGATTTCTTGAGGTCTAGGCCATTGCATTAGGAAATGCATCAACTTCTATTTAAAAAACATATATATAGTTATCTACTCATCTTTTGCACAACATGATTCCAGACAGTCTGCAACGAGACATCCTGATCAGATACAAGATATTTGAATTAAGCAGTTTCAGGATGGTTGAGGGCTGAAACCAAAATAATTTAATTGGTAGCTGGTTGAAAGTAATCACAGAAAGAGCTCATGAAATATTCTCATTTTATTTAACAGTTCAAACAAGTCTCTGGTAAAATCATGTGTGTGTTTACACTGAGACTTCCCTGCTCTTAATGGATCTCTCCCGTAAGTTAAGCAAGTTACACCTACATTGCTCACCCTTCATTTTCTCTGAACCATTTTTGCTGTTTCTGACACCAATGCTTACAGGACAAAGTGAGGACTAGCAAAGCAGACTCAGACAATTTTTGTTAACTTTTTAATGTATGATGCAAATTACTTATTATTTTATATAAAGTCACAGACATTACATACACACATTTCTTTCCCTAATTATAGATAAACGGCAATATTTTCAAATTGCAAAAGCATCAACTCTCTAATGGAAAAAAATAAAACAAATAGGATAAAAGACCACATAATACACCTATTTTTTTCTGCATTTAGAAATACTTTCCAAACTCACTATACTCTTAAGTAAGTTTTATTTTCCATTGGCTTGTCCCTTCAGGAGAGCAACTATTCCCTGTTTCATAATAAACCCGTGTCTGGAGAATTGGAATATTCTCCATGCCTCTACTTGGAACAACAGAGCTTTCATGAAAAGCCAAGTTAATTTCTGTCTATCCTGGTTAAATGCCAAGAACTACAGCACACTTAGGTATGCTTTACTAACTGCAAAAGTGTGTTTGTCTTACCTACGACTATGCACTAACTTGTTTAATTCCTAATTCACTTTCTAAGGAAGAAACTATCAATCAAATAATCAACATGCTAATTGAATAAGAAAGACTCTCACCTCCACGATTTCAGTGCTTGAATACCGCGTCAAAATGTGCTCTGCTGGATGCACCACTGAGACTTGGATAAACGTATTCAGCTTCCGATCACGGGTAGCAGCCACTAGATCCTTGCATGCTGGAGACAGTGCAAAATAAAAATAAAATACTCAAAAGCAAACTCCAAGAAAATGCTGTCACAGGCACAGAACAAAGCAGACCACGCTCCAGCTCCAGATTAAATCTCCAGAGACAAGTCTATTTAACAGAGGAAGTCCCTTGGAAGTAACCTACAGAAATAGGAAGTCACATGCCACAGAACTTGGCTGAGATCTCGTTTCCACTAAAAATACTTGCAGCTTCTGCAAAGCTCCTGCCAGAGGCTCATCAGCCCCAGTCCATGAGTGTGCATGCGCATACACTGCAATAGTAGTTAATTTTACGTAAGTACTCGCTTAATTCACCCACAAAATCTCCTTTAGCAGCCTTATTGCATCCTCTCTTGTCTGACAATTTCCTCAGTTACACAACCATTTCAAACACGTTCTAAAACAGCTAATTGCTATCAGTGTTTAAGCTGGTTTATGTCATTTGTTACTTGTGAACTTAGCAGAACTAGTTGTCAGGTATAAATCTACATATCTAAAAGCAGACAGCAACATAACCAATTATTTTGTCAGCGACTGGTATATAAATGAGAACTGCATTCTGCCTATACAGCATCATTATTAAAACTCATTCGACCTAATAGAAAAATTCAGTTCTGGTTTAATAATTTACTTTTATCCTGGGCTCAGAGTCATGCAGGTGACTGAGACCATTCTTTACACCAACACACTTCATGCCTTCAAAACAAAAGGGTGAAAGCACTGAAGAAAAAGGAGGAAGAAATAAATAAATCCATCATCAGCTGTCTCACAGAAGGGGCACAGATAAATGGGTAATGCATTGGCTCAAAAGCAAAAACCATCCACCACCTTCTATTCTTCCCTAAGGAATGTATAGCAGTGAAAACTGCAGTGGGATCTACCTAGTGCTTTCTGCAGAGTAATAAACTACCCTGGGATCTCAAGCCTGAGGCAAGCAAAGAAAAGACTATGGCTTCAGAGAGGGTAATTGTCAGAAAGAGCTGAGGGTATTTTCTATGAGCCACTGCCTACCAGGGACTTCCTCAAGTGCAGCTGACCTTTAACTTTTCAAAAGGTGAATCAGATTATCTTCACAGCAAGCAAACTTGGTCTGATAAGAAGCCAACACTAGAAAAGCCCTGATACATACAAAAGGCCAACTCAGTTTGTTTTATACCTTTTTTTTCCTTTGGGCTTGAACCTGCTGCTGGAGTAAATAAAAGGAAAACTATCTGGAGCTTTCTTACCACTCTTTTATTACAGTTAAAAGAGACAGGGAGACAATTAAATCTAACCTTCAGAGATTAAAGTTTTTGCTTTAGTTCAAATTGCCAGTGAAATCTCCTGGTACATTGTTTCAAACTAACCTTATTATAATTTGGTGGAAAAAGTGGGATAAGCATAATAGTTTGTGTGTGATGAAGTCTTTATGAAACAGCTGATGTAACAGCACCAGGCTCAAACAGTGAGTTGCCAGCAAGTCTTTGCTGCTAAGACTCACTTCATTATTAAAATGACTGAATATTAGCACTACTTGACATCACCTTAAAAATTACAGTAGACTTCCTGAAAAGCAGTTGCCAAAGCACAAAAGGTTCAGCAGACACCTTTTGACACTATTTGACTTTGTCCTCACTAAAGTTGATCATGTAAGTAGTAGCAGATCACTGAGATTTCCAAATATAGCCAGTTCCCCCCACAGAACCTGATGTCATGCCACCGCACAATCCTTAAATATTGCAGTCTATAATAATTTTTTTAGAATGTAGCACTGTTTCACAGGAATGGCAAGAGAGCTCATGCTCACTATCAGAAGCTGGAACAGAGAGACAGTCAAATTTTTCACACCCACAACACAGGAAGGCTATCCAGATCACAATTGAATAGAATACAAGAAAAGTGAGAAAAACAAAGAGACACAGACACTTAGGAAAAATAAAATTAGATCCTTAAAAACATTATCAGTGACTCTGGCAGGACCTCTGCAGTAAACTCTTGCAAAAAGTACTACTGCATGATGAATCGAGGCAAAACCCTTACAAATAATAGTTTGATCTAGTTGTGGCCTGTCTCAAATACATTATCTAGATGTGACTAAATCTTTTAGCTGCCAAGAGCACAGGCTTTTATCCTATTGAGAAACCATTAACAATAGGAAGAAGATTTGCACTAAGTGGTCACCACCTTGGTGCTATCTGAACATAGGAGAAAATTTATTTCTGTGACAGTACTGCAATCCAGTCATTAGATCATTTTTCCTGTAAAAAGGTGGCTTAGCAGCATGATCTTGAATTTCACTGGATAGAGATGACATAAAAATAATTCATCTGCATATCTCCAGTAGGGAGGATCAGCATAAAGCATTAGAACTATTTGGGAGACACTGGAGCAGAAGGATAAATGAAATTAAATGAAACCTGTATCTACTTTGACGACAGTGCTATTTATCTCTATTGTGACACTGAACTACTGCTGTTCACAACTCGCCTTTCAGAGAGGATATTCAATACAGTTATCCCAGGTAAAGAACACAGAAGTTGCCACAGTGCATCACTTCCCTTCAAAACAGCCCAAATGAAAAGTTTAACAAAACAAAAGGACTACTTTTAAGCTGATGCCAAAGAATAAAAACTTGTTATATCCTGTTCACAGCCTGGCAAGTTTCGCAATTCTATGCTGCATTATTGCCCTTTGAACAATTCAGCACCTCCAAAAACCTTAGGTCTTCAAAGAAACAAAGCGAAGCTTTACACAGGAAAGCATGTTATAGATTTAAACATGTTTGTTAGGTATTAGCATACCCCTCAAATAGAAACTGATGAAAACACAAGCCTGAAAGACATTCTGAGGCTGTTTCCTTAACTGCACAGGTAACACAGTGAGAGCAGGCAACAACATCAGTGCACTTTTGACCATAACCTATGCCCAAGCAAACCACAGGTTATGTTATTTCTCAATACTTCAGAATGTCTGAGTTAATTCTTGAAATAATGTTCAACAAAACACAGTGAAATGAAGTGTCCGTTTGTACTTACATGCCAGAAGTATATGAATCTACTCATTGTGACTGTTGACTCAGTGTGCAATAGCCTGAGTCATCTATTCCCCTGGTGACCCAACCTCTGCTGAGCCTGTCAGTGTACAATGAATGTTTAAGGAAGAACTGCATTAGGAATAATTTATGCTTTAATATCAACAATGAAAAAAAGTTAAGATATCAGGAAGAAACAAATCTTCTATTGATATTTCACTGCTCTCTGTGCTGCACTGACATGATGGCTGTGCTCTCTGCCTTTCTGTGCGTGTGTGCCCAGATGAAGTGAAAGACTGGTTACTGTATCCTCATGGGACCTTGGAGGATTTTTTTTTTAAAATGTTACTTCTATATAGGAAGAGAGTACACAGACAAAAACTAAAAAATCCCAATTACTATATAACATAAGAAGAAAGGAAACAAAACAAACAAAACCCAAAATAGAAACAGCCTGGAAATTCATCATCTACCTTCCCTGAAACTGTTACACTTCTGACCAGGCACTTAGCACTCTCTGCTCCAAGCACGAAGTCCACTGAAGCAAAAAAAAATTTAGTCTGGCAGAGAAACAGAGAGATGCAGCATCTCCCAGAAATGGAAAAATCCAGTAGCTAGAACAAACAAGACATGCAGTGGGAATGGAAGACATCCCCAGCTCAGAACCCAGAGTTCTCTGGGAAATGAGCCAAGGAGGATATCAAAAGTTGGGAAATGGCATTGAAATGGAATTTTTTTTTCTTTTTTTTTTTTTTTGGCTAGTGAGGTAAAATACAGTACATTGGTGAATGTCTTTTCATACTCTGGATTCACACAATGTAGGTATTAGCCTGTATGACAGTGTGCAAGGTAGCTCTTTCTTTAACCAGTGATGAAAACACCATTTCCCACAGCTTTATTCCCTCCCACATTCCAAACCAAAACAGATTCCAGGGGGCTGACTAGGAACAGGAATTAACAACATAGCCCTGTTGTCTCCAGGGTATGCTATTTTGTATGCTGTCAAAACAACAGAAAATTAATAGCATCTGATGACAAGGGGCATGGGAAAAGCCTGTGTCTCACACATATATATGTGAAGGTAATGTTCAGATTTTTCTTCATTTCATTGCCAATGCTGCAGCATTATTATCCCAAAGCAACTTAGTTTATAAATAAGAATGTACAGTCGGTCTTAACAAACTAATTAGGTAAGGTGTAGCTATCCCTTACTGGGCAAAAGGACATGTTGAAGAAGGGAATGCCACACTTGGACCTGTGCTACAAGAACACTGAACAATATACAGTTTATTTTCTTCCACCCTGGGGGAGTATTGAGGATGGTAGGGAAGTCTAAGAGAAGGAAGTGCACATCACCACTGTTTCTGCCCTAGCTGAAAAGGAATACCTTCAGTCAGGTACATGCAAAAGCTTAGGAATAATCTAATTTTGGAACATACAGGAAAGCTTTGCCCATACTTCTGAATTAAGAGTGCAAATGCAACTGTGAGAGGGCTGAGAACTGAACAGCAATGTGTAGCATCCCATGAACTTTCCCACCTCTGTCAGTTCCCAAGTCCTCAGCCCTGGACACGGCAGTAACCACTTACCATAGCGTCAGTCCTCCTGGGGGGGAGAACAGGCTCCCAAATGGATTTCTGCGCCGCAACTTCCCCTGGTTTCTCCTTTCCCTGTCCCCTCACTGGATTGCTATCCCTGGTGGCCACCCCCCTTTCCCTGGAGACCAAACCCCTCTGCCCCACCCTTAGCTCTGACCCCACTCCTGCCCCTTCTTAAGCTGCCCACTCCACATGTTTGTCCTCTTTTCCCTCGCTGTGTTCCCTTCAGCCACATGTGACATCCTTCGCTGGAATAAAACCCTGCAAAAAGAGCCTTTCGTGCCTCTATCGCTGAGCCAGCTGCGGTGAGTGTTGAGTGAGGGTCTGAGCAATGTGTTCTCTGTTTGGCAAAACATCCCTGAAAGCAAACAAAATGAACATT